TTTTTAGACCGATGAGCTTTGTAAAAATCGACGTGTTTCAGAAAGACGGGGCATAGAGGAGAAACAATAATGTACAGTATGTGGAAAATAATGTGTTTTTTTTACTTTAAACCGCATAAACACATTTCATTACACCAAATACACAAAATAATGTTCTTTTTAGCAGCATCATATGACCCCTTTAAATCTCTTTCTAGAACAAAACCGAACAACATTGGAATCTCTTACTAAAACAAAACCGAATGACATTTAAATCTTTCTAGAACAAAGCTGAACAGCATTTAAATATCTTTTTAGAGGAAAACCAAACAGCATTTAAATCTCTTTCTAGAACAAAACCAAATGACATTGAAATCTCTTACTAAAACAAAACCGAATGACATTTAAATATTTCTAGAACAAAGCAGAACGACTTTAAATCTTTTTCTAGAACAAAACCAAATGACATTTAAACCTCTTTACAGAACAAAACTAACAACATTTAAATATCTTACTAGAACAAAAACCGAACAGCATTTAAATCTCTTACTAAAACAAAACCGAATGACATTTAAATATTTCTAGAACAAAGCAGAACGACATTTAAATCTCTTTCTAGAACAAAACCGATCAATATTTAAATCTCTTACTAGAACAAAAACCGAACAGCATTTAAATATATTTCTAGAACCAAACCAAATGACATTTAAACCTCTTTCTAGAACAAAAACCAAACATTTAAATCTCTTACTAGAACAAAACCGAACGACATTTAAATCTCTTACTAGAACTTGAACGTTGTATAAATAATGTTTTTGTGCTAATTTTCTGAGACCAGATCACTCTGAATGAATATTCTGTTAACGTTACAGATTTTTCATGACTTTGAGAGAACCTTGCCAGAATGTTAGCCAAATTTCCCTGTTAGCTGGATTTTCACATTTGGCAACTTTCGATTTAAATCATGAACTGTGGTACTTGGTGGAAAAAAATTCTTAAAAATAAGTAAATAAAACATTGTGGTTTACTCAGTTTTGTATCATGCCTTAACACTTGTGTATATTCCGCCTCTTACGGCTTATTCGTGTAACACCGCTGATCTGAACGAGTTCTAGAGAACTAGAGCTGATCCAGAGCGTAGAGTGATTTGAACATGCCTCCCTGTATTGACGTTCATCATTTCTGTGATGATTTGTGTCATATTGATCTAATGTGCATGTGTGTGTGTGTGAGATCCATTCATCAGCAGTTATCGAGCGTGAAGATGCTGCGGTCCCTCCCTGCAGATTCCCGTTAACACAGCGTTAATTAACAGCCGGCGTGAATCAATTGTAGTCCGTCAGTGAACAGACAGCCATGGTTCTCTGCAGTGTTTTAACAATCGTTTTGCTCATGCCTGTGTGTGTGTGTGTGTGTGTAGTTCCTCAGGTGCGGGCGGTGCTTTACTCCACCTGTTCTGTTCACCCAGAGGAGAACGAGGAGGTGCTGAAGACGGTCCTCTCACAAACACAAGAGAATCACTCCACAGCGCCGCCCTACAGGTGTGTGTGAACTTACATCTCGTAGGTGTTGTCTCGTGATCATTAAAACATTTTTCTGTGTACTTGAAAATGAAAAGGGAATCGTGTAATAATGACAATTTTTTTTTTTCAGTTTGGTTCATTCTGGGCAAAAACTGTTTTTTTTTTGTTGTTGTTCTAGTTTTAGGGTGGCAAAGTCTCCTTTCTGTAAGTTTACTAGTTAGAATGAAATAAAAGGATGGTTAATAATGTTTTTATAATGTTTTTATGATGGCTATTACTATTTTATTATGAAAGTGCATTGTGCCAATAAGCTAAGAAATAACAATAACAACAAATA